TGTGCTCTTGTGTGTTTGGTGCACAGCCCAAGGCAGACGGAGGCTTGGGTCCAGCCCGTGCTCTGCTGGCCAAGTCCTAAGCCCACAAAGGCACTCACAGGGGTGCCTTTTGCACTTTGCATAAAGGTGTCATATAAACTAGGGGTCCTGTGGGCACTGGAGATAAGAGTGTGACACAGACCCAGCCCCTGCCCTGAAGGACACAAATGGTCCTGGGTTCAAATCCAGACCCCTTTGCTGGCTGGGAAATCTTGGACAAGATGCTTGACTCTGTGAGCCCATCTCCCTCCAGACCATGGAAATGAGACAACCAACACCTTACCCTCAACCTCTTTGGAGACATAAAGGACGTAGTGAACCTGGGACCCCGATGGCCCTCAGAAGATGTCCTCTTATCCTACAACCAAGTGGCATTTTGCCTAGATGATTCTGAGGGGGAGTTTTTCTTCACCTGCATCTCACAGCCAAGGACAGGCAGGGTTCGCTACACTTGGACAGCATTTCACCTGTGAAAACTGGCGTCTCGAATGGTTTCCAAATCACAACCCCTGCAACCCAGTTGTCAGGATGCCCCCAGAGGCAGGAAGACTTTCCCCACCAGTCTTTCCAAATGGAGGAATTTCAGGGCAGGGCTTGACCTCCAACAATCCAGAAAAGAACTAAGGTCCCGGCTGGCACAAATGGTTTGCGCTCAACTACTAACCTGAAGGTCGGTGGTTCAAACCCACTCGTGGTGCCACAGACGAAAGGCCTGGCAATTTGCTTCCACAAAGATTACAGCCAAAAAAACGCTCTGAAGTGCAGTTTTAGTCTGAAATACGTGAGTTAGCATCAACTCGACTGGGAACAGCTCTGGTTTGGTTTGGCTATGCTTTAGCCAGCAAGATATTCTTGCCTGGAGTGAAAACATTATCAGATGTGCTCCAAGTCAAGTTTTCAGAATCGTAGCCACACAATTTCTACGGGAGATGTAGGAGAACATCAAAAACCTCACTGGCATAAAAGGGCACAGAATCAAATGTCAGAAATCTTTAGTTAAGACTAAGAGCCCTGGTGGCATAGTGGTTAAGACCTTGGCTGCCAACCAAAAGGCTGGCAGTTTGAATCCAACAGCCACTCCTCGGAAACCCTACGGGGCAGTTCTTCTCTGTCCTATAGGGTCGCTATAAGTTGGAATCGACTTGACGGCAATGGGTTTAAAGAGGCAGAAAATGGCTTGACTGTTTTTCACTCAAGGGATAGTCTAATGTCCAATTACTCCTGTGCTGTGTGAGATTGTCCCCCCCATTTTGAACTTTTCTACGGTC